TGACTTCAGGATTGGAGCTAGCAAATTTGTCATCTCCAAATTTATTCTCAGGTAATGAGTTCAGCTCCTAGACGCCCAGAGGAGAGATACCTCTTCCCTGCACACTTCACTGTCTAAGCCAAGCCTCCTGCCACTATACTTTAAGGGTTCTCTTTGCTGACCTGCCCTGACCTCCATAAGGGCTTCTCACCTGGAGCTGGTACATGTTGATTTCAGCCTGACTTTTCCCTCTTCTAAAATCAGTAGGATAGTTCAATTTAATTTTTAGTTCATGGTCCCTGGAGGGGTTAGGTCATAGGGATCACATTTTGGGAAATCCTTCTTGTTGGCACAGTCCTTTTGTACAGACAGGAACAGGACATCACAAGACTAGAGGCTAGAGAAGCTTGTGTGTGACCCTGGCCCTTCTTATAAAGTCGTCATGGGGACTCTGCCCTAATGGCCCTATCTAATTCTAATAACCCCCAAAAGCCCTACTAAACACCAGCATCAGCTCCACCTTCCCCCAATGTGGTGTGTGTTGCTGAGGACTGAACCTAGGGCCTCATGAATGCTAAGCAAGTGCTTTACCCCTGGCCTAGATCCCAGCTGGGTAGTCCAGGACAGCTAGCCTAAGATGAGGCCTCCTCCTGCCCTTCCCCAGACTGTGTGCAGCTTTAGAGCCAGCTGCCTTTCTCTTTCCACAGTTTCAGGGCCCTGCCACTCTCTTAATTTCCACAGCTCTTCCTTCCTCCCTTTGGAACAGATGCTATTATTCTTTCCTAAATTTCTGGAAAATGTTCAGGCCAGCCAGCTTGGATTGTGCAGTGACAGACAAAAGAGGCACTAGCTTGACATAGTGGGAGGAAAGAACCACTTCCAGAAAGTTGTCCCCTGACCTCCACATATGTGCCATGACACACACATGCCACCCTACAAACATGCACAAACAGACAAACAGAAAGACACACAGAGAGGTAATTCCTCAGCTGCTCTGGCCACTTGTTACATTGTCAATATTGAGAAAAGTTATTTCTATGGTTAAAACTAAAAAAGGGGGGGCTGGAGAGATGGCTCAAAGGTTAAGATCACGAACTGTTCTTCCCAAAGTCCTGAGTTCAATTCCCAGCAACCACATGGTGGCTCACAACCATCCATAATGAGATCTGGTGCCCTCTTCTGACCTGCAGGGATACATGCAGACAGGACACTGTATACATAATAAATAAATCTCTTTATAAAAAAAAATGGTGAATTCCTTCGTTGAGGAAAAGTACTCGGTGGCTTATAGTGAATTGTAGACAGGATGAAGAAAGAATTAACTAGACACATTCTCATGTGCACCATCAAAACCATTCATTCATAAGGAAGCTCACAATAGTGGATTTAAAAATTGACAATGCCTGCCATTATGAAAAACTGGTGGTCTATCAATGGTTCAAAAAAGCATATCATAATATCCACATTTGAAATCTTTACTGTTGTGTTTTTAGGGGGAGAGTCTTGGCCCAAGAAAACGGTAGGCATTTGCATGTCTCTTTTCCTGTTGCATTTCTAATAAGATAATGCACTTTTCTAAAATGGATTCTTTCAGAATAACCAACTGAATAAGATTGACAGTATGTCTCCGGAAAGTACTATAGGAATCAGTAGGAATATATCTTAGAGAATATTAATGTAATGTTTGTAATCACTCTCTGCTCTGACATTCATATCACAGGTATTTGCCACAGGCCAAATTACAGTACAGAACATTGGGAAAGGCCATCACTGCAACAGCCAAAGCTCTCAGTCTGTCCTAGGAAGAAGAAAATCTATATAATTCAAGTCGGGTAGTGCTTATAGTGCTATGATTCACATTTCATGCAGTTGCAAAGATGGAAAGGGTTAGTTCTAAGCAGGTCAAAATTCAGTAGATTATTCTGGGTCTGGTGGCACATGCCTGTAATACCAACACTTATAAGACTGAGGTAGAAGGATTCTAAGTTTGAACCCAAAGTGGACTGCATAGCAAGACCCACCACCCTCCCTATAATAATAATGAAAAGATCGGTAGACAAAGAGAAGCCAAGAATGTACTCCAAGTATTTCACCCTGTGTGGAAACAGAAAACTGGGGCTGGAGAGGTTGCCCAGTGATCTTGCTTAGAACTAATCCTTTCTATCTTTGCAATTGCTTGAAACGTGGTTCATAGCACTGTAATCACAACCTGCCTTGAATTACATAGATTTATATTACATACATATATAATTCTGAGTTGAAGGCCACCCTGATCTACAGAGTGAATTCCAGGACAGCCAGAGCTACACGAAGAAACCCTGTCTCGAAAAACAAATAACAGCCCTCATGTCATAAAACTTTCATGATATAAATATAAAATAGAACTAAGAAAATCCAGCCAGGCGTTGGTGGTGCACGCCTTTAATCCCAGCACTCGGGAGGCAGAAGCAGGAGGATCTCTGTGAGTTTGAGGCCAGCCTGGTCTCCAGAGTGAGTGCCAGGATAGGCTCCAAAGCTACACAGAAAAACACTGTCTCGAAAAACCAGGAAAAAAAAAAAGAAGAAGAACTAAGAAAATCCACTCATGAGCTCAGCAGTTAGGAGTTGGTACTGCTCTTCCAAATGTTCAAAGTTCAGTTCCCAGCACCTATGTCCAGCTCCATGAGATCCAACACCCTCTTCTAAACTCCATAAACATTCATGCAATACACATGCAAACACAAAATAATAGAATAATTGTTAAAAAGAAAACCAAATCTTGGAAATTATCATCTTGAGTACCCAAAGGAAGAAACTCAATATGTGGAAGATGATGTTGGGGAAAATAAGAAAATCAAAAAGCAGAGACAAAAAAAAATGTGCAGAAGAGATGGCCAAAATTAGAACACTAATCCAAACAGACCAAATTATCGTGGTTCCAGAAACCAACAGAGGAAATACTAAATGGAAATTTTCAAACTGAAGGATGTGAATTTCCATATTGGAATGGCTCATATAGTATGCATTGCAATCAATAAAAATAGATTCATACAAAGTCATGTCATGAAATTTCAGAAACCCGAGGACAGTGGAAAATTTCATAAGCTTCCAGAGGTTAAAATAGAATGTATAATATGGATCACAAATTAGAATACTTCTACACTTCTGTAGTAGGCAGAATCTTAAGATGGCAATTTTTTCATCCCCTACAGAAGCACTCTGCACAGGTCCTATTTCATTGCAATGATTATATCAGTATAATACAGTTGATTTTTTTGGAATTTTGTTTTTGTTTTTGTTTTGTTTGTTTGTTTGTTTGTTTTTGGGAGGGTTCTAGACAGAGTTTTCTGGATAGCCCCGGCTGCCCTAGAACTTGCTTAGTAGATCATGCTGGGCTCCAACTCAGAGATCCACCTGCTCCTGCCTCCCAAGTGCTGGAGTTAAAGATGTGTGCCACCACACCTGGATCACTGTGGACTTTTAAATAAGATTGAGCTAACCAATTTTAAGAAGTCCTTGATATGCCAGGAGGTGGTGGTGCATGCCTTTAATCTCAGCACTTGGGAGGCAGAGGCAGGTGAATCTCAGTGAGTTCCAGCCCAGCCTGGTCTACATAGGGAGTTCCAGGACAGCCAGGACTGTTACACAGAGAAACCCTCCTCTCGGAAAAGCAAAACAACAACAACAGCAACAAAAGTCCTTGGTAGCTAGGCTTGGTGGCATTCACTGTAATCTCAGTCCTTGGGAGGTAGAGATAGGAGGATGGAAGTTCAAAATCACCCTCATCTACAAAGTGGAACAAGGCCAGACTTGGATGCATCAGACCCTATCTTAGAAAAAAAGAAAAAATGGAATAAAATAGCCACAACCGTATAATGTTTATTACATTCACTATGTCCTGGTTCTTTGTTCCTCTGTACTCTAAATATAGTTTTCACTTTTGCCACTAAATCACTCATTTTCACCTAGCCGATATCTAGAGTAATAAAAGAAAGGGAACTGGGATTAGAATTACAAAATAAATTAATTACCTAAAAAAAAAAAAAGAAAGAAAGAACAAGCTGGGCGGTGGTGGCACACACCTTTAGTCCCAGCACTCGGGAGGCAGAGGCAGGCAGATCTCTGTGAGTTCAAGACCAGCCTGGTCTACAAAGGCTGGTTTGTAGTTCCAGGACAGCCTCCAAAGCCACAGAGAAACCCTGTCTCAAAAAACAAAAACAAAACAAAACAAAACACTATTTCAGCTCATGAATTTCTTGAAAATCCGTATCAGTGTTTTGCCTGTATGTCTGTGTGCTACCTGCATGCCAGGTGCCCATGGAGGCCAGAAGAAGGCATCAGATTCCCTGAAACTAGAGTGATAGAAGGTGGTGGGGCATCACATGGATGCTAGAAATAAAACCAGAGTCCTCTGGAAGAGCAGACAGCATTCTTAATCTCTGAGACATCTCTCTAGCTGCCCACACACACCCATTTTGGGGGACATGGTCTTACTATGTTGCTCTGGCTAGCCTGGAACTCTCTACATAGACCAGGCTGGTCTGGAACTCAAAGTGATCTGTCTGGTTTTGCCTCCAGAGATCTAGGATTAAAGGTGTACATTGCCACCCCCAGCTGTCATTGTGAAACTTTAAACCCTCACAAACGTGAGAAATAAGGGAAGAGTCTAGAAACTTCCACGGGGGGGGGGGGGTGAGTCACAGTTAGACGAGTAAAACAGAAAATATTGCCAGGACTATATTACCAATACTAGATGCCAAAATATAGTGAAGCAACAATGTTTTCAGAAATCTAAGGGGGCATGTATCTTTCAAATCCAAAGATAAAGAAATAATCTTGTGTTCAAGGACTTGAGAAATTTGTTTTACATCTACTCCTCTCTAGATTTTCCTAAGGATGTACTCCAACAAGAAAGAGATAGAGACAAGATAAAAGACACAAAGTCAAGGAACAATAAATGCAATGCAGCACTGAAAACACAGGTCGGGAGAGTCAGAGGCAGGAAGAAATAAAACAGTGTTTCCAGGGAAACGGGAAATCAGATGGAAATAGGGATTGCGAAGGTAGCTAAGCAGTGGACAGCGTGCTATTGTCTGATCGTGTTCACCAAACTCATGTTGAAAGTACACTCAAATGCAATAGTATTAAATGGCCGTGTCTTTAGGGCGTGGTTAGGTCCTGAGGACTCCTCCCTTGCAAACACCTGCAGATCCCCGTATGGGGGCAGCACTGTCATCCCAACACTCAGGAGGCTGAGGCAAAAGAATCTCTGCGAGATCCAAGGCCGAGCTACCGCGAGTAGAAGCATGGAAACCAGAGTAAATTCTGTATCACAGGAAGAAAAAATTCAGCCCCTTTTGCCCCCTTTTTCTGCTGCGAGAGGAGACAACATGAATGGCCTTCACCAGGTGATCGGCATAAGTGACGATCTTAGATTTTTCATTCTCCAAAAGTGGAAAAATAAACTCCCGTGTTCAGAAGTTACCTAGTCTGGGACATTTTGTCAGAACAGCACGAAGGCACTAAAATATTCAAGAGTAGGAAGGAAGAACTATTATTTAAAGGATAGTCTGAAAAGCTGTAGGGGTAATGTGTATACATCTGACCAGATGAGAATTTTAACTAAAGTTACTTTACAACAATGTGTCGCATAACCATGTGCTATAGCCAAAGAAGTATATCAGGCAATGTCATTGTGTGAACATCCTACACTAGCCTGTTGGTCCTAGGAGCATGATGAATAAAACAACATGAGATTAAGTCAAGTGCAAAAGAAAGTTTGAAGTTTGTTTTTGCTCTAACAACATATTTAAAAAAAAAATCTTAGCTATAGAAACTACACAAAATGGTAGTGGGTCCTTCATTAAGAAAAAATGTGGGGGTTGGAAAGATGGCTCAGAGGTTAAAAGCACCGACTGCTCTTCCAGAGGTCCTGAGTTCAATTCCCAGCAACCACATGGTGGCTCACAACCATCCGTTATGAGATCTGGTGCCCTGGTGCCCTCTTCTGGTGTGCAGATATACATGGAAGCACAATGTTGTATACATAATAAATAAGTAAAATCTTTTAAAAAAAATAGGTTTTTTAAAAAAAAAGAAAATGAAAAAATGTGATAAAGGTCCCAAGAGGAGAATCGAATCCTACCACTGTTTTTCTAAACCAATACATTTCTAACTGTATTCTAAACACTTATCTTCATACCCACAAATAAGTATAGCTTTCACCCATCATCAAAGAAACTTCTTTCCGCAATAGATGGAAACTATTGCATAGAACAACAAATGTCAAATGCAGAAAATATGTAACTGTGTTCATTTTCTTTCTATTTCTATGATAAACACCATGACCAAAAGCAACTTGGGGAGGAAAGGGTTTATTTCATCTTACAGCTTCTAGTCCAGTGGTTCTCAATCTATTCTCACCCTTTGGGTGTTGTAGATCAGATATTCTGTGTCAGATAGTTATATTACAATTCATAACAGTAGACAGTTATGAAGTAGCAATAAAAATAATTGTACATTTGGGGGTCACTACCACATGAGGAACTGTATTAAAGGTTTGAAGCATTAGGAAAGTTAAGTCTCTGATAAAAAGAAGTCAGAGCAAGAACTCAAGGCAGAAATGTGGAGTCAGGAACTGAAACGGAGACCATGGAGGAATAGTGCTGACTGGCTCCCCATGGCTTGCTCCAGCTACATTTATTTATTTTTATTTAAACATTATTTTTAAAAAAATTTATCTATTTGTGTTATTTATCTAATGTGTATGGGCGTTTTGCCGGCATGTATGTCTGTGCACCATGTGTGTGCAGTGCTTAAAGAGGCCAGAAAAGGGCAATGGAACCCCTGGACCTGGAATTACAGACAGCTGTGACTGGCAGAGACTGGGACTGCAGGTAGCAAGCCTGCCATCCCGAAGCCCAGCTGGTTGGCTGGTAGATGGGAAACAGAGACCTGTGAAAGTTTTCTTTGGGGGGGGTTAAGAAAATAAGGGAAGGAAAGAAAGAAGAGATAAAGAGAGACAGAGACACAGAGTGAAAAGAGAAGTGGAGAGAGACAAAACAGACAGGGATCAGACTGCCTCCTCAGAGAGATGACAGAAAAGGGGAGAGAGTGGGAGGGGTTTTCATTTTAAAGTGCCAGGGTAGCCTGCTAAGCACAGAGGGGTAGCAAGTCCCCAAGGGGCAGAGCCAGATTTGCTGGGATTACAACAGTGACATTTATTATAGAACCCAGAACTGCCTATGTAGAGGTGGTGCTGCCCACAGGGAGCTTGACCCACCTGTATCCATCACTAATCAAGAATATGCCCCCCATGGGGCTGGAGAGATGGCTCAGACGTTAAGAGCACTGACTGCTCTTCCAGAGATCCTGAGTTCAGTTCCCAGCAACCACATGGTGGCTCACAACCATCCATTATGAGATCTGGTGTCCCGGAAGCAGAATGTTGTATACATAACAAATAAATAAAATCTTTAAAATAAGAATATGCCCCGCCCCCCCAAATCAGGCCTGGTGGCACACACCTTTAATCTAAGAATTTGGAAAGCAGAGGCAGGTGGATCTCTGAGTTTGAGGCTAGACTAGCCTGGTCTATCCTCAAACTATTGCATTCCAGGACAGCCAGAACTCCACAGAGAAACCCTGTGTCACAAAAACAAACAAACAAAAATAATTTTAAAAAGTAGAAGCCCCTACACACTTGTCTATAAGTCAATCGGATGGAACCATTTTCTCAACTGAAGTCCCTCTTCCCAGATGACTTTCATTTGTGTCCAGTTGAAATAAATAATACTAGCACAACACCCAACTCCAATACAACCCGTATACCTAAGGCTCTGGGAAGAGGGTATAGGAAGATTGTAAGAGGCTGAGCGTTGGTGGTGCACACCTTTAATCCCAACACTTGGGAGGCAGAAGCAGGCAGATCTCTGTGAGTTCGAGACCACCCTGGTCTACAAAAGCTAGTTCCAGGACAGCCTCCAAAGCCACAGAGAAACCCTGTTTGAAAAACCAAAAAAAAAGAAAAAAGAAAGAAAGAAAGATTGTAAGAGCCAGACCAGGATGTCTGAATGAGATAGTGTCTTCTATTGTGATAGGAAAGCTGCACTCATGAACTCTCACCAATATGGCTGTCTGAACAAGATCAGCATACTGACAATACATCCCAGGATGGGCAAGGGAAATTCTATGTAGTCCTTCCCTTAGATAAAGAGCTGTGTTCAATGCCTGCTGACAAAAGGAAGACCAGTCTCTTCCAATCTCCTCCAGCCATGAGCTCCTACATAGGTTGTTTACTCCCTAGAGATCAGCCCTGGACACATGTACATATAAGCAAAGCTAAATGGATTCAGTAGGTTATATTTATATATATATATACATATATATATATATATATATATATGTTTATACATGTAACAATAATATTAAAGAGAAGACATGGGTGGAGTTAGAGGGGAGAGCAGGAGGGTTAGGGATGATGTGGATGCAGTACTCATTATGAAGTTCTCAAAAATTAAATAAAAAAGAAAAGTATGGCAAACAAAATCCTACTTACTGGAACTTTGACAGTTTATCTTTAGAAAAGATAAGGATGGTTTTCCCGGAAATGACGCTAGTCCCGCCCTTGAGGAAGTGACAACAGGAGTGCCCTTGACGGGCAGGCTGGCTGGGCTGTGTGTCCCTCCTCTTGATCTCCTGAGGAGGTTCCTGACCTCGGTCATCCCCAGGAAGCCCCCTCAGGGTGGGTGGACTTCCCTCACCTCTAGAACCCTACAGACCCCACAGTACAATCCTGGTGGTCTGACAGAAACATTCAGCCCAGCCTGAACATTATACACCACCAGAGTCTGCTCAGCAACCTTTAATGTCCAGGATGGACCCGACTTTCAAGACAGAGTTGTCAACAGTGAGACACCAGTTGTGGATTTTCATGCACAGTGGTGTGGTCCCTGTAAAATCCTAGGACCGCGGTTAGAAAAGATGGTGGCCAAGCAACACGGGAAGGTGGTGATGGCCAAGGTGAACACTGACGACCACACGGACCTTGCCATGTACGAGGTGTCAGCTGTGCCTACAGTGCTGGCCATCAAGAATGGGGACGTGGCGGACAAGTTTGTGGGCATCAAGGAAGAGGACCAGCTGGAAACCTTCCTAAAGAAGCTGATTGGCTGACAAGCAAGAAAGAGTCTTGGCTGCCCTTGCTTGCTGGAGCCTGTTTGGGGAGGAGCCTAGCAGAACTCTCAGCCCTGAGCTATTATCCTTCCTGCCCCGCCCTTCTGTTTTGTCCCTGTGGGTTCAGCCTTTGGCAAAAGCCGGCCTCCAAACCTAGAAGCCACTGATGCTTCAGAGCCAGCCCTCAGTCAGGGTGACATGCAGAGGAACAATGCTGCCGCTGGTGTGGGGGCTTCCTGCGCACCTCCTACTGTCTGCTCCTTCTAAGGCCTGCCATTGTTCCCCTAGATGCTGGAAGCGCCTGGGCTAGCCTGTAGCCTGACTGCAGGCTCTGTCCTCATCCACTTGGTCCTCTGAGGCAGGAACCACCAGCCCCGCCCTCCTGCCTCCAGCACTTTCCTCTCCTGCCCTGTTTGAAAAGAAAAGGAAACCAGAGGCTGAACAAGTGACACTAAAGTATACTTCTCATTTTTTGTAGGTCTATAATAAAGAACTTTATGTGACCCTTCTACTTCTTGCTGTGAAGAACAGAGCCCACCCAACACCCTATAGGTTTCCATTCGCTCCCTTGTCCCCTCCCTGGGTTAGCTGGGCCTTGATTCTGATTCCCCGAGCAGGAGGAGGGCACTGCCAAAAGAAAGAAGAGAGAGAGAGAGAGAGAGAGAGAGAGAGAGAGAGAGAGAGAGAGAGAGAGAGAGAGAGAGAGAGAGAGGAAGAAAGAAAGAAAGAAAGAAAGAAAGAAAGAAAGAAAGAAAGAAAGAAAGAAAGAAAGAAAGAAAGAAAGAAAGAAAGAAAAGATAAGGATGACAACTAAGCAAAAGGGTTTAGGGAACTAACAGTGGTTTATGTTACACAACTCCTGACAGCATAGACTAAGAGCAAGTTTAACTGTATTTTATTATGCAAATATGGACATTTTAAATTGTATTAATGAATAATCTAAGCATTCAGTAGGTCATATTAAGCTATGTAGTTTTGATTTTCATGTGGTAAGGAAGACTTGATTCATTCCTTTACTTAGCTTTAGTGATACATTCTGACAACTTTTATGAGTTTCTCACCCCTCCCCCAGTGTTAAGTAACCACTTTCTTTTCTTTTTAAGAGTAACTTTTTTTTTTATTGTGCTCTAGTGAATCTTCTTTGGTTTGTAAAACAAAGAAGGAACTTGGGAATTAGATACTGAATTCTTCTACCATTAGCTTTATGACTTCAAGTCATTTAACTTCTCCAAACTTCTGAGTCCTCACCTTTTACACAGAGATACTAATATTTACCATATAACATTGTTGAAAATGTACTAATATTTACCATATAACATTGTTGAAAATGTTTAATAACCCAGCACTTGGGAGGCAGAGGCAGGCGGATCTCTGTGAGTTCGAGACCAGCCTGGTCTACAGACTAGTTCCAGGATAGGCTCCAAAGCCACAGAGAAACCCTGTCTCAAAAAAAAAAAAAAAATTAATAAAAGGCGAGCATGCTGGGCAAATACGTAGTAAAATATCTGGCACCTGATTTAATAGATGCAAGTAAAAGGCAATCTTACTGCTTAGAATTTGGACCTTCTTAGAATTTGGACCTTCTGCCTCAGTGTATAGCACACATTTCTTATCTTATAAATTGACTATGTAGAGTCAGATAGTGGTGACACACACCTTTAATCCCAGCACTCAAGAGATAGAAGCAGGCAGATCTCTGAGTTTGAGGCCAGCCTGGTCTACAGAGCAAGTTCCAGGACAGCTAGGGCTACACAGAGAAACCCTGCCTAAAAATAAATAAACAAGCAAGCAAATAAATAAATTGACTGTGGAATGTATATGTGTATTTGTTTTATAAACTCAATTTCAATAAATTAAGTTTTAGCTTTCAAGATCCCCACATGAGGCTGCTTGTGGTGACACATACCTATAATTCTAGTTTTCAGGAGTTTAAGCCAAGGAATTGGCAATTTCTGCAAACTGTTCAATTCTTAGCCATTATGCTTGACTAAGGGACTACGGATGTATTTAAAAGATGATAGTCAGGATCGGAGGGTGTTCTATATATTTTATGTTAAAATTTTTTAATATATTTAGGGGCTGGAGAGATGGCTCAGCCATAAGAATACTGGCTGCTCCTCCAGAGGTCCTGAGTTCAATTCCCAGCAACCACATGGTGGCTCACATCTGTAATGAGATCCAGGGCCTGCAGACAGAACACTATATTTATAACGTGGTGGTGTCTCATGCCAGAGGCAGGAGGAACTCTGTGAGTTTGGGGACAGCCTGGCCTACTGAGACAGTTCCAGCACAGGCTCCAAAGCTACAGAGTAACCCTGCCTTGAAAAAAGTAATATATTTAAATTTTTCCATATTAGAAAGCTAGAATGAAGATGAGCTCCAAAAGGAAATAGTATTAATTCCATTTCATGCCTAAAGCATTTGTTGGTATATAGTCTTGATTGTTCAATGAGTTAAGAAATGAGAGCTTGGATATGTGATAGGTAGGGTTTTAGTTGGGGGGATAGTAAGGGAGGAGGGGAGGGAGAGGGAACTGGGATTGTCATGTAAAACAATCTTGTTTCTAATTCAAATAAAAATTACATGATAAATAAATAAACAAATAAAAGAAGAAGAAGAAGAAGAAGAAGAAGAAGAAGAAGAAGAAGAAGAAGAAGAAGAAGTGAGAGCTTGGCTGGAGAGATATCTCAGTGGTTAAGAGCACTTGTCGCTGGGCAGTGATGGTGCATGATGCCTTTAATCCCAACACTCCAGAGGCAGGCGAATCTCTGTGAGCTTAAGGCCAGCCTGGTCCTCAAAGAGAATTCAAGGACAGTCTCCAAACCTACAGAGAAACCTGTCTCAAAAAAACAAAACAAAACCGGGGGTTGGTAGCACACGCCTTTAATCCCAGCACTCGGGAGGCAGAGGCAGAGGCAGGCGGATCTCTGTGAGTGCAAGTCCAGCCTGGTCTCCAGAGTGAGTGCCAGGATAGGCTCCAAAGCTACACAGAGAAACCCTGTCTCGAAACCCCCCCGCAAAAAAACAAACAAACAAACAAAAAAAGAGCAGTTGAAAAAAAAAACAAAAAAAACAAAGAGCAGTTGTTGCTCTTGCAGAGGACCTGGGTTTGGTTCTCTGCACTCCTGTGGTGGCTCACAACCATCTGCAACTCTAGTTCCAGAGGATCTGATGCCCTCTTTTTGCCTCTGCAGGCACTAGGCATGCTTGTGGTACACAGACAAACATACAGACACTCATATGCATAAAACAAAAATAAACACATCTTTTTAAAAAGAAGTGATAGCCTATTTTCTCGTAAATATTTTTCTTTATAAATTCTATTACTGGAGCCAGAGAAATGGCTCAGTGGTTATGAGTTCACACTGCTCTTGCAGAGGACCTGGGTTCAGTGCCCTGTACCCATATCGCATGGCTCACAGGTGCCTGAACTTCAGCTCCAGGAAATTCAACACTCTCTTCTGGCCTCCTAGGGCACCTGTGTTCATGTTCATGAGCACAACACACACACACACACACACACACACACACACACACACAAATATAGATTATATTATCAGTTCTTGGTGGGTTTTTGTTTGTTTTCGTTTGGTTTTGTTTTTGAGACAGGGGCCTCTCTATTATATAACCCTCACTATCCTGAAACTTGCTATATAGATCAGGCTGGCCTCAAACTCACAGAGATCTACCTTCTGCCCCTCAGGTTTTAGAATTAAAGACATGTACCACCACACTAGACTTAGCTACTTTTCCTAAGGTTTCTATATATATGTTTGTCTGCACCACATGTGTGTGTGCCTGAAGATGCAAGAAGGATGCATCTGATCTTGGAGCTGGAGCTCCAGGCAGCTGTGTGCCACCTGACTTGAGGGCTAGAAACTGAATTCAGGCTGTTAGGAAAAGCAGTAAGCATTTTTTAACCACCAAGCCATCTCTCCAGTCTCCTATTATTGTTTTGGTTTGTTTTGTTTTTATTAAAGACAGTAGCCTAAAAACAGTAATGAAGATTTTTTTCTTTCTCTCTCTTCAGCTAAATTGCCCTCAGCCTGCTGCTGCACACCCAAATGAGAGACACTCCAGGGAAATCTGTGCAGGAAGCAAGGGTTGATGAGTCAGCCCATGGCACACTTTCTCTGTGTGGTCCTAAATCAAAGCTTCAGTTAATGACAAGGCTTTCTTTATTTCTAAAGAGTTTGTCTAGGGAGTGACAATAAGATTGAAGGGAGAGTCGTTAATAGCCTCTAACACTGCTTTGTTTTATTGATGTTATTTGTTGCAAAAGTCCAGTTGTTGCTTGTGGAAATCTACAGAAGTCATTATTTAGATATTTTCTTACTTAGATCCTATTGGTATTCCTTCCTTCCTTCCTTCCTTCTTTCCTTCCTTCCTTCCTTCCTTCCTTCTTTCCTTCCTTCCTTCCTTCTTTTCTTCTTCTCTTTCTCCCTCCCTCCCTCCCTTCCTTCCTTCCTTTGTTCTGGCTCCCCATAAGGCTGGCCTAGAATTCAAGATTCTCTCACCTCAGCCTCTTGGGTGCTGCAAGTATAGATCCTTGCTACACCCAGGCTCTTTTTCATTTTAAATTAAAAATGATGCCCCCTGCCTTGCCCTGAAGTATTTGACTAGGTCGTTTATGGACTAAGTTATGCCAAGCCTATTCTTCCCCATAAAAGCTATGTTTTGCTGGCCTTTTGGGTGATTCATCTACTATGTATGCATACAAATTATAGTTCAGAAGGTTGTTGTAAGATTTAATTAATGTTTGCTGCTTGCTTTATGATCTTCAGATGAAAGGCACAAGATGAAATGCAGTGTGTCTACATAAAATAATAACACTGGGACACATTATAAAGAATTCGAGGAATCTTTCTGAACAAAAGGTTGTACTGAGCATTAACTACATTGTCTTTCTTATTGTTTAAAACAGAATGAAACAGTATTTGAAGGAACACTATGAAACCAAAGAGATTTTTCAGGTGAATATACAATTGATCAAGAAGGTA